CGGTAGGGCGGGCCGGGCGTGTTGCCTCAGACTTCCTCCCCATTTCCGATAAGAAAGCTCAGGGCTTCAAAAAAACATGGATGAAGGGCGGTGGTTTTCAAAATAGGTATCCTGCCTTAGCGCCGCGCACATTCTTAAAGGTCTGCAACAGCTTCATAGATGGAAGGGGGGTGCTTGCAAATGGGGCTCCCACCATAGCGTTGCGAATCCGCCACTGTGCCTGCACGGAATGGGCGTGCTAGAATGCTCGTCTGGCGTCTGAGACGTGTTTTTAATGTTTTCTAGGGCCACCCCTCCCCCTTGCCCCGCGCGTGGTCCTAAAACCGCCCCCCCTCAATGTGCTCTCCAGCGCTGCCAAAATGGCTCACACGACGGCTTCCAAAGCAGCCAAGATGATAACATAACTACTCAAGGTGGCTCAAGACAGCTCAAGAAGCTGTCAAGACGGTCTCCAGACGGCCCAAGAGGTCCCCCAGACTGCCCAAGAGGGCTCCGAGAGGCCCTCCAGGAGAGCCCGAGGAGGCAAAAACAATGTATGTTCCGCAGGTTGTTGAAGGATTGTGACGCCTATGTGGGTTTCCGACCGCCCAAGACGACCCAAGCGGCTCCCAGATAGCTCCAAGACGGCACAGGAGGCCCCCAAGAGGGCCCGGGACCCCGAGATCGACCAAGAGGCTCCCAAGAGAGTCCCAGGAATGTCCTAAAGCGCTTCGAGGGGGCACCACGAGGGCTTCAAGGACGGCCTCCGAAGGCGTCATACGGGTCAAGAGCACCCTAAGGCGGTCCAAGAGGCCCCAAGAAGCTCTACCGCGCGGGAGAAGACGAGGTCGATCTCACGACCCGCCTAAGTTCAGACAGATCGCCGAACTGCAGCGGTGCTTGAACTCGACCTCTTTCATACAGCGCAGACGAAGGCGAGGTCGAGATCACGGCCTTCCCAAAGTCAGACGCGCCGCTGAATTGCAACGGGGCGTGACCTCGACCTCCCTCCCCCCCCGCGCGGATGAAGACGAGGTCAAGTTCACGACCCGTCCAAACTCAGACGCATCGCTGAACTGCAGCGGGGCGTGGACTCGACCTCCTTCCTACCGCGCGGACGAGGAAGAGATCGGAGAAGGCGTGATCCACCGCCGCTTGACTGTGGAGAATTCCCCCCCCCTCTTCCTCCGGAACCCGGGGGCCCCCCCCCCCCCCCGGAAAATCCCCTGCTGGACCCCCCCCCCCTTCCCCGGCAAAACCCCCCCTCCCCTAACCCCCCCCCTCCCCTCCAAAAACCGGGGGGGTCACTACCGGTTCGACCCCCCCCCCTCGAAAACCGGGGGGGGTCGCTACCGGTTCGACCCCCCCAAAAACCAAAGGAAGGTCACTACGTTCGACCCCCCCACCCCCCTCCAGTTGGGGGGGGGTCACTACCGTTCGAACCCCCCCCCCCTCCTCCTCGAAAACCCGGGGGGGTCACTACGGGTTCGAACCCCTCCCACCCCCCCCCTCACCGCCCGCCAGCAAACGACTCCCGGTCCCTACCACCGTCCGCACCACGTCCCCCACTGCTGTTCCCAGCACCACTGTCCTCACCACCACTGTCCCCACTGGTTCCACCACCGTCCCTACTGTCCCCACCAGTGCCCCCACCACTGTCGCACTGTCCCCACTGTCCCCACCACTGTTCCCACCACGGTTCCACTCTCCCCACTTTCTCCACGGCCCCAACCACTGCCCGACTATCCCCACTGTCCCCACTGTCCCACTGTCTCCTCCGCTGTCCCACTGAGCTGTCCCACTGTTCCCACCACTGTCCCCACTGTCCCCACCACTGTCCCCACTGTACCTCTGTCCCATTGTCCCACCGCCGTCCTCGCCACCGCCCTTCACCACTGTCCCCACCACCACTGTACCCTCCACTGTCCCACTGTTTCCACCACATTCCCACTGTCCCCACACCACTGTCCCCACCACCACCGTCCCCACCACTGTCCCACTGTCCCCACTGTTCCCACCATTGTCCCCGCTGTCCCCACCAGTGCCCCCACCAGTGTGTCAATGTCCCCACTCTCCCCACCATTGTCCCACCACGGTCCCACTCTCCCCACTTTCCCCACGGTCCCCACCACTGTCCCACTGTCCCCACTGTACCCACTACTGTCCCACTGTCCCCGCCGCTGTCCCACTGTGCTGTCCCAGCGTCCCCACTGTCCCCATCACTGTCCCACTGTCCCCACTGTCCCCACCACTTTCCCCACCGTGCTACTGTCCCACCACTGTCCTCACCACCGCCTTCACCACTGTCCCCACCACTACCGTCCCCACCACTGTCCCACTGTCCCCACCACTGTCCCGCTGTCCCCTCACCACTGTCCCCACCACCACCGTCCCCACCACTGTCCGCACCCACCCCGGTTTTCGAGGGGGGGGGGGTTCGAACTGGTAGTGACCCCCCCCGGTTTTCGAGGGGGATTGGGGTTCGAACCGGTAGTGACCCCCACCCCCTTTTCATGATGGACTGGGGGGGGGTGTTCGAACCGGTAGTGACCCCCCCCGGCTTTCCAGAGGGGGGGGGGGTCGAACCGGTAGTGACACCCCCCGATTTTCCGCCAGCAGCGGTAGAACACGCTCTTTCAGAGATCGAGATCACGACCCTCCCCAATTCAAGCCAACCGCTGAACTGCCCGGGGCGTGAACTCGACCTCATCATTCTTACCGCGCAGACGAAGACCAGGTCGAGGTCGCGACCCGTCCCTGTTCAGGCAACTCGTCGGAGTTGCGCTATTCCCAAACTCAGCCTCCTTCCTGCTTTGCGCGGGGTTTGCCGTAAGCAGCTGAATCAATATTCTAGAAGCTTCCAAGAGCTTCAAGGATGGGAGGGTGTCATTTTCAAAATGGGGTGTTCGCCTGAGTGCCACGCACATTCGTCTTTAAAGTTCGTAGCTGCTAAAAGGATGGAGGGGCGTGATGAATGGAGTTCTCGCTTTGGCGCCGCGTACAATCGTCTATTAAGTTTACAGCAGCTTCAAGGATGGATGGCGGCTTTTTTTCATGATTGGGTCTCTCGCCTGGGCGCCGCGCACATTCGCCTTAAGAGTTTACGACAGCCTGCAAGATGGTGTGGGTTTTGCCTGAGACTTCCCCACCACTGATGACAACATTTGAAGAAATGTCAAACAAGAGGGCGGTGCTTTTCACAGTGGCTCGCACGGCCCCCAGAGGCCACAAAAGGCAAAAACATTCTCGAACCAAGAACCTCGAATATGCCCGCCTTCCCTGCTGGCCGGAACCAGTGCTGGGCCACCTCAGACCCCAAGCCCGCTCCAAAACCCAGGAGGCCAGCCGAGCGAGGGCTAGCGACTCCACACCTGGTGGACAAGAAACACTGACGGCAGAGGTGGGAGACGACAGGTGAGGCGGACGCCTCGCTGCGGGCGGATGCGGGACGCAAGCCAAGGCTGGCCGGGGCGTAGCCCGGGCAGCAAAAATCCGCGGGGAAAGCGGGGAAACCCACACACACACACACACACACATACACACACACACACACACTTTGAGAGCGTCGCGGGCCAAGCCGAGCCACAAGCCGTCCGAAGGTCACCGCCAGCGCGTGCGCGCCGGCAAAGAAAGAAAGTGAGGACTTACGCGATGCAGCAGAAACCAAAAGCCAACCAGAATTAGGACAACACGACACACACACACGGAGGCCTCTCAGCGGCACCATACAGCACCCGAGGGGCCCCAGAACCATCCAGCGGCTGGGTCGCCCCGCGACGCTCTCGGCCTCCGCCTCCCCGACGGCGCTTTTACACTTCAATCCGACTTGGGGAACATATCGGAAACCTTCCTCGTCCTCCTCCTCCTCGTCCCCCCCCTTCTTTTCCGCCAATTCCTCCACCTCCACCTACACCGATGGTTTGGGATCTTTCCAGGTGCCTGCGAGACACCTCGTTCTTCCTTGACCCTAGCACCGACAGATTTGATGTCCCTGCGATTCTATTCCATGTCAACAGCCGCCGTCGTATTGGTTCAATACTGGCTGTCTGAGGGCGAGGAGGAGCGGAAGGGGGGGTTCAGAGCCCCGTACGGCAGGTTCTTGTCGTGACGACCCCGGCGTTGGTTTATTACACCGCGTGGATCGTTCGACCTTGAATGATCGGCGGCTTCTCGATCGCCACATCGTTCCATCTTGACCGATCCTGGAGCCTCGAAAGCCCGCGCTGGGAACTCCGCCGCGTCGACACGGCACGAACCTGCAGTCAACAGGGACCTCTTGCTAAGCCAGGACGCTGGCGCACCCGAGAGGACTGCACCCGTGGGTCGAAACACGCTCCACAACCAGCCTCGAGTTGTCATACCTGTCCCTGAGATTGACAAGACAAAAGACGACGACACAATCTTTAGGGACGCGCCCTCGGAAGCTGGGGGGATCCCTAAGATCGGCATCGATGCAGGGCGATGCCAACCATAGGGGTCGGGATCTGCTTCAGGCTGGCAACTCCACGCCTCGTCCTCCACCCGCTGAGCCTGCCAAGCTGAGCCCTGGCCTGCAGAGCCCGTGGCACACCTCCCCTACGGCCCTCATCGACTACACGTCAGAGTGACCCTGGGCAAGAGTGACCTTTGGTCCGCGACTTCACGGGGGACGCGGGGTGGCCTAACCTGGGCGCGCAAGCCCATGCTACCGCCTCGCAATCAGCGAACGGGGAACCTCACTGGCCCCGCACCCAGGGTCACTCCGACGAAAGGCCACTCGCGTGCAGCCCAACGGCCCTCACGCGGCCCACTCGCTGGGCCACCCGCCGCTGGACCGTCCTATGGGCCGGCCCCTCGGGGAGAATACCGCCGCGCACGCGCCCCGTGCGCCGGGCAGGCCTCTGGCCCCGGCGCCGGCCCCTCGGGCGCCGCGGCCCTCTGCGCCGCCTGCGCGACCGCGGCCGGGGCCTCGTCGGGCGGCGCCGCGGCGGCGTCGCCGCCCGCGGCGCCCTCGGCGGCGCCGGCGCGCTGGCCGCGCCGGGCCTCGAGGCAGGAGCAGCGCAGCAGCGCGTCCCAGGGCTCGGCCTCGAGGAAGCAGGGAGGCGAGCGGGGCGGCCACCACCAGCGCGAGGAGAGCCGGCGGGGGGCCCTGCTGCTGGCGTGAGGCATCCCCTCCCCGCTCCAGGCATCCTCCCGTGCCCCGAGATCCGGCGCCGCGGAAGAGGAACAAGGACGACCTGGGCACCATCTTCCTGCGGCACTCCTCGAGCTGGGTCGACCTGTGATGGTCTCGGGGCCAGCGGCCGGGCGAAGACGCCCGGCGCGAGGAAGTGGCAACGCCCGGGTCTCAGGGGATCCCCAGCTCGCGGAGGCATCGTTGGCCTCCTCGCTGGAGGTAGCACCCGCGGTGGTGGTCACCCCAGACAAACATCCGGCGTCTCGATTCTTTCGCAATGCGGGCCCCCGGCTCTCGACCACTCTCCCTGGACCAATTTCTCATCCCAGGCCGTTGTTCGACGGCCCCGAAAACGAAAGAAAACCTTCGTCTCGATTTTTTCGAGACGCCAGATATCTGGCACCCGTGCAAAGCACATGGCCGACTCCAGGGACCCTGAGCCCAAAATGTTACGATCTCCTGCGAGGCCGATTTTGATTGCGCTGGCTTCCGCCAGCCTTCCGCCGGCTTTCGCCGGCGGAGGCGGCCTCGTTTTGCTTCCGCCGCCTCCCGCCGCCCCTCCGCCGCCCCTCCGCCGCCTTCCGCCGAGGAAGAGATGCCAACCCCTTCGGCCCTTCGATCCTCGAAGGCGAGGCCCTCTCTGGAACGCCTCAATCATAAACTTCCGGAGGTCCGCGCGAACTTCTCGGACCGGCGCCGGAACCCCCTCCCTGGCGCACGGAGCGCGCCAGGGGCGGCGCCGGAGGAGTCGCCAGGGGACTCCAGCGCCGATCCGAGAAATCCGCGCGGGCCTCCGAGTTTTCATGTTTGTGGCATTGCTTGTTCCCCCTAAGAGAGGCCACCCTCAGAACAAACGCCCCGACAAGCGAGGCCGTTTCGTAAACACACCCAAAGAAAGAACGAACAGGTCAGGACCGTCTAGTAAACGACCAGGGCCGTTTAGTAAACGCCGATCATGGGGGTCGGGGTGGTTCGTCCTCCATTGAATCAATCATGCTTCTGCATTGTCCGTTCCCCGATCAGGTCTGGCGCTAATGGTGGTGGTGGCGTCGCTCCACCCTCCTCCGAGGCCTGGGGAAACCGAAAGGTACCGACACCACTACGCTCCGGACCTCTCGTCGGGGTGCGTGCTGACCAGAACTTCAGAGCGAATCCAGCGGTGGCGACGAGGGCCTCCCTGGAGGCCCGAAGAGGCGAAAACGGGTCGAGGGCAGCGGTATGTTCGAGGCCTCCCAGATGGGGCCAGAGCAGATTGGGGTCGGAGGACCGCGTCGCATCGCCGATGCTTCGCCGATGTATCGGCGATGCACTGGCGACGTCGCCGATGCACCAGCGACGTCGGCGTGGAAGAAATCAGGCTCCACATCGAGCCGCATCGGCGATACATCCGCGATGCGGTGCGGTCCTCCGACCCCATCTTATCCGACCCTATCTGGGAGGCCTAGAGGCCTAGAGGTATGGGTACCTTCAGGGCAGCGAAATCTGTACAACTCCACTGCTCCCTGGCAAGGACGATCCTGAACCCAGTAGCGGCGTATACGCCACACCCTCCTGGCTTACCCCAGGAGGGCGCATGCACAGCTCCTGAGGCCGGGAAGGGCCCGGCTCAGGGGCAGTGGATGTGTATAGATTTCGTCGCCCGAACCTGGGGAAACCAGAAGATACCGATACCGCTACTCCCCAGATCCCTCCTGGGGTGCGTCCTGACCAGGATTTCGAGGCGAATCCAGCGGTGGCGACGAGGGCCTCCCAGGAGGCCCAAATCGGCGAAATCGAAGGAAGGGCAGCGGTGTGGGTACCCCTTTTTCCTCCTCGGAAAACCCTTCCCTCCTCCGAGACCTGCGGCTCCGCGGCGGGCTCCGCGAGGGGCGCCTCGGCGAGGGGCCCGCCGTCGTCGGCGTCGGCCGCCCGCGAGGCCTGCGCCGCGTCCCAGGCCAGGAGGCTGCCGCCGCGGAGGCGGCCCGAGGCGCACTCGGGGCAGCGGCACCCGCCGCCCAGGTAGGGCGGCAGGTGCGGCTCCTGGGGACGCACAAGGACAGACACAGTCGTGCCAGACCCCCTCAAGCCGTGGAAAAATCACGGCGGGAGGCTCTTCGCTGTTGTCGGTCCCTGGGGGCCCTTCCTGGGCCTCGGCACCGCCAAAAGACGACTCCAGACGCATGAGGACATACAGCCGGAAATACGATCAAGAAAGATGTATCATCGAAGAAATCTGGGTCAGACTCCCGGACGCTTCCTAAGACAAAGACGAGCCAACTCTTCTGCCGCTGACGCTGGAGGGGCGACCGCGCTCGAGAAAGCGGGGCAGCTTTCCGGCCAGCTGGTGAAGAAACGCTGACCCAGCTTTTCTCCGGAGATTTCTGAATCAGATGCTCCACTGTACTACAGTCGGTGGACAAAATGTCGCAAGTTATCTGAGCATTATGATAAACAGCGTGCCAATTAGGATCAGATTCCATCGATCTCTGAGGACCCCCGCATCCCCACATTTCAATGTTGACTTGCATTATTTTGTCCGCCCGGACTTGGGGTGCTCGCTTGGCGCCAACATTGAGATGTAGGGGGCGGGGATTGTTCGTCGAGGTGGCGCCGCAATGTAAGTGCAGCCGCGCGCGTTCAGGAGCAACTTGCAAAAATTCGTCGTCCCACCGTAGTACTGCGCGTCCTCCTCGGAGGCGTGCGCCCGACCGGACTGTATATCACAGCCACCTTGCAGCACATCGTGCCCCGAGCGGTGTGGCCAAAAAAAGCGCCCGCCACGCAGCTCGACCTAGAAGAGTTCTCGGAGCGCACTATGACTATGTCGGCGTGACGCCGACTCCCGGCCTAGACACGTCGGGCACCTTGAAAAAATCGAGGCGGAGGTTTTCCACCGTTTTCAGTCTCTCGGAGCCCTTAGCGGGCCTCGGGGCCATCAAGAAACGACTCGGGGCGAAGATCCGGTCCTGGGAAGTGGTCGGGAGGTCGGGGGGCCGTCTCGAAAAAATCGAGACGCCGGATGTCTGGGAGGGGCGCCGTCGTCGTGGACACAGACTCCCACTGCGCTGAAAAAATCAAGACGCGAAAATGCTTTTCGCCGTTATCGGTCTCTGGGGGCCCTCGCCGGTCCCCAGGACGGTCAAGAGGATACTCAGGCTGAAAAGACGGCCCCGGGGGAAAGGGTCAGGACTTCCAGGGACCCCGAATTTGAAAAACTAACAAACCAAATCAAAAACATATGATCCCTGGGATAGACCCGAAACTCACCTCGGCGTCGTAAACAATTAACGGCGGAAAGTGTGCGGCAATCTTGGGCCTCCTAGGTGGTCGTTAACGTCAACGGAGCCCCAGGACAGTCAAAGAATGGACCGGGAGGAGAGACCGACCCCTGGGAGCACGTTGTGAGGAAATCACGACGTCGGGGTCTGGAGAGGGCGCCGTCGTGGATGGAGGGTCGAGGGTCGAGGGACGAGGAGCGGCCATCTTCGCCACAGCCTCGCAATACCGGTCAGACGGAGCCCAGGGATCCTCAACGAGCTCCAGGAGCTTACTGGCAGCCTCGCCCACGGAGGAGAAGACGCAGACCTTGGCCTGCGTCACCGGGTGCGCGAACCGTTTCGCCAGCGGCCACGCGGCTCTGGAGAGGGTCCACGGAGCGTTCACCACCACGATGGAGAAAACGGTCTCCGGGACGAGGATCGAGGCGTGCTTGGACACCCCTCCGAGGAAGCTTTTCAGGACTGGGTCTAGGTGCCGCATGCCGATGCCGGCGAGGTCTATGACGACCAGTGCCCTGGAGCCTATTTCTGTTATTCGCGACAACGCCCGTTACTGACCCCGCCACCCCCCTCCACAACCCAAGTAATGTCACGATTCGCGCAGGCGCCGTCTGGGAACTATCCACTCCTAGCCAGCGGTCTCAAACGGCGCTAGCGCAAATCGTGACACTACCGGCCCCCTTGCCCCCCAGTCACGCCCGTTACCCTGAGATCCGACGACGCGAAAAACTGCTACATCGTGAAACATCACGACCAGAAAGCTGGACCTCATCTTCCTGCTGCATACTTCACGCTGGATCGACGTGCGAGACTCCCAGGGTTCGAAATGATGCGAAAACGCCAGGCTCGAAAAAACTGCGACGCCAGGATCTCGGGATATTGCCAGGGGGTAAAAATGCCGTCCTGTCCACGGGTCGGCCCACGAGGCGTGCCTGCTCGGGCATGAGCACCTTTTCGGTGGCAACTCATGGAAGCATCCCATGACATCTTGCTGGCTCTTGCGAATCGACTCTAACCGACGCTAATCGACAGTAATCGATGCTAAATCGGCTCTCATCGACGCTAAACGGACGATGTCTCACCGATTACAAGATGATAGCGCACGCTAATGCACTCTAAAAATAGAATTCCAAGGACATACAAGGCTCCCATGATTTGCTACCGAGCACCTTGGTCATGTACTCCACGCCTCGGAGGTAGGCCAGCACCGCGGCGTTCTCCGCCAGCCCGCATCGCTGCCTCGCCAGCTCGCCCTCCTGCCAGAGCCGCTGGAAGGCCAGCATGTCCACCGATCCGTACCTGAGGACAGGCAGGGGGGATCTCTGCACCCTCAAGGAACCCAAACCCCTTCGGTCGGGACCGTCAAAAAACGACTCAGGATGGAAAACCGGGCTTCGTGCCATGGCGGAGACGCGCCTCCAGCCAGCGGCACTGATTTAGCCGATGTGTCGCGCAGACACGGCGCCATTGATCAAGTGATTGGTTAGGCGCAACTTTGGAGGGGGAAGAGGAGCGGCCACCTCCAAGCAACGATCTTAGTGAGGCCAGCGTGTAACCACAGTGCAGTCAGAAACAGTTGAGAAGCAAGAGGGAAGCGTTGGGATGACTTCGCAAGTGTCGGGCAATTCTCGGAGGTGCTGGACGGTCAGGGGCTGTCTTGTCGCCACATAACAGGCGGAGTCAATAGTTACATTCTTAGAGCACCACTTCGAGCCCGAACAAACACTGACACCCACCCACTTCCGCACTCAAAGCAGATGGAAACACCCACTCACACCACGCATCGTCATTGTCTTTCTCATCAGCAGAAGCATCACCAGCACCACCATCATCGCGCGGCTTGCTCCGCCCGCGCGCGCGCGCATCTGGGCCTCTGGGCCCAATGGTGCACATGCACCCTGGGCCGCATCCACGACTCAACGATGCAAAGACGGAGGAGGAGGAGGAGGAGGAGGAAGAGGAGGAGGAGGAGGAGGGGAAGGGGCAGAACGACGACAACGACCACCACCACCACCGCCACTACGACCACCACGAGAACTCCAGGCCCAGGCCCCCTTGAAGGCCCCGCGCCTGAGGATGTAGAGCGGGTGACCCAGGCGGTCGGCCCCGTGGAAGCTGGTGGGCACGGTCGCCAGATAGAGCTCGCGGAACTCCGGGGCCAGCGGGCAGGACGTGGCCAGCAACTGCGAGATTTGACGAAAGGACAACGCACACACACACACACACACACACACACACACACACACACACACACACACACACACACACATAAGGGGGATCGGAGGGAGGAGGACTGGCTATGGGTACGGGTCCGGGTGATCGGACCTCGGGGGAGGCTCCCGTTCGAGCGGGCACCCCCATCCGACAACACGCACCCATAGCTCATTCCGTCCCCCCTATGGGTATGGGTGCGTGTTGATCGTTCGCCCAGAAGAGGAACGCCTCTGCCGAGTTCTTCTCGCGACGTTCGAAAGTCTCCTCGTCCCCTACTCCTCCTGTTTATCTTCCCCGCCTCAATTTCCTCCTCCTCCTCCTCCTCCTCCTCCTCCTCCTCCTCCTCCTCCTCCTCCTCCTCCGTCTCCTCCTCCTCCTCCTCCTCCTCCTCCTCCTCCTCCTCCTCCTCCTCCTCCTCCTCCTCCTCCCCCATCCCCGCCTTCTCCCCCTGGGGCCCAGCCTCCTGGCACTCGGAGTCGCCTCCTGGGCCTCTCCACACGCGCTCCATGGCGAGAACCTCGAGGCGGATCCGGCCGATGCGGCGAGGTTCCCCCAAGGGCCCAGAAGAGGACGAGGAGGAAGAGGAGGAGGAGGAGGAGGAGGAGGAGGAGGAGGAGGAGGAGGAGGGGGAGGAGGGGAGGAGGAGGAGGAGGAGGAGGAGGAGGAGGAGGAGGAGGAGGAGGAAGAGAGGAGGAGGAGGAGGAGGAGGAGGAGGAGGCGGAGGAGGTGGAGGAAAAGGACTGGGTCTCGAGCGAGCCACGAGAAGAGCCCAGCTTCCAGGAGGTTCGTCCAGAGGGGGGAGGGCCACTGGCGCTGGGAGCACCAAGTCCGCGCCAGCAGAGGGGGAGGGGGGAGCGCAGTTTTGAGTAAAACAGCAGCGAGGATGAGGAAAAGGGAGAGGGAGGGGAGGGGAAGGACAGACTCATGGGGGGGAAGCACCGAGCTGGGATCGGCAGTACATCGCCGACAGATCGGCGATAGGCCCCCCGATGGCGGAACTGCACGGTCGTTGGCCGGGTGGGCTCTTGGGCCCCTGTCGGCGACCCATGGGCGATTGGGGGTCGGTGCATCCCCCCCTGAGCCCATACCCCCCGCACGTTGCCCCCACGGAGGGGGCGCTCCAGGCGAAGGTAAAGACGAGACTTTTGCCAGGAGGTCTAGATAGGAGTCCAAGGATATCTGTTTGAGCGGCCCAAGATCCCCAGAGTCACGTCTCTCGGCATCCCTTCAAGCTCCCTCTTCATGGGCCCCGACGAAGTGTTTGCCATTGCGGAAAGTGCCCCGTGAGAAAACAACCGTCTGAGAATCTTCAGTCGTATCAAAATAAAACTCCTGTGACCTCAACGCCGCGAATCTACGTTACTGCTGTATCCTGACAATCCTGAATCGTGCCAGCACACAGATCCTGGGACTTCGACACCGCGAATCAACGTGACTGTTGCGTCCTGAGAATGGCAGTTCGTACCAGAACACAATTCCTGAGACAACATGTCCACGAATGCTTGAAGCTGCTGCAAACTTTTACAACGAACGTGCGCGGCGATGAGGCGAGGACCACATTTTGGAAAGGAACCACCCTCCACCCTTGAGACTGTTCCAAATTTTGAAAACGAATGTGCACAGCACTGAAGGCCACATTTTGAAAACGACCCGCCATCCATCCTTGAAGCTGATGCAAGCATTCGAAACGAATGCGCGCGGCGCGAAGGCGAGAGCCACATTTTGAAAAGAATCGCCCTCCATCCTTGAAGCTGCTGCAAATTTCAAGCTAAGGGGGAGAAGTCTCAAGCAAAACGCCCGGTCCGCCCTACCGACACGTCTGGGGGCACGACAGGGAGAGAGCTATTTAGAACGGAAAAAGATGGAGGAGGAGGAGGAAGAGGAGGAGGAGCCGGAGGAGGAGAGAGACGGGACAAGGGAGGAGGGAGCAGGGAGGAGGAGCAGGAGGAGGAGGCGTGGAGGAGGGGGGGGGGAGGCGTGGAGAAGGGGCGACTGAAACGAGGGGGCTCAGGCTCCGTCGGGGGGGTCTGGAGCTCGGAGCACCGAGTCCATGCCGAGCGTGCGGCGCGTCTCGACGCAACGGCGCACCAGCTCCACCGCCTCCTTGGCGCGGCTGCCCCGGGTTCCTCCTCCTCCTCCTCCTCTTCTTCCTCCTCCTCCTCCTCCTTCTCCTCCTCCTTCTCCTCCTCCTACTTCGCCTGCCCCTCCTCCTCCCTCCGCCCTCCCTCATCCTTCTTCCCCTTCCTCCAAGCTCCCAACTTCCCCCCCCTCCCTGTTGCCTTCTCCTCGTCCCTCCTCCCCCCTCCCTCCCCTTATCCTCCCCCCTACCCCCTTCCTCATCCTCATCTCCCTCCTCTCTTTCCTCCACCACCAGGACTATCGACAACGAGTGACGACGACGAAGACGGAGACGGCGACGGCGACGGCGACGGCGACGCCGCCACCGCCGCCGATGACGACGACGACGACGACGACGACGACGACGACGACCACGACGACGACGACGACGACGACGACGACGACGACGACGACGACGACGACGACAACGACCCCGACGACCCCGACGACGACGACGACGACGACGACCACGACCACGACCACGACGACAACTACGACGACGACTACCACGACGATGACTTCCGCCACCGACGACGACACCAACGACAACACCGACGACGACAACGACGACGACGACGACGACACCGGCGCCGGCACCGATACCGACCGACCGACACCGACACCGACACCGATGACGATGACGACGATGACGACGACGACGACGACGATGACGACCGCCGCCGAAGACGACGAAGACCAAGGCGACCACGACGACGACGACGACGACGACGACGACGACGACGACGACGACGACGACAACGTATACGACGACGACGACGACGACGACGACGACGACGACGACGACGACGACGACAACGTTTACGACGACGACGACGACGACGACGACGACGACGACGACGACGACGATGCCGACCACCACTTCTACGACGACGGCGGCAATGGCGTCCTTGGCGCATTCTTCCCCTCGTTTCTTCTCCTGGCGCGCCTGCCAGCAAAACCGGAGCAGGTCGGCGGTGGGCGAGCCGCCGATGCTGACCGACTCGCGGAGCGCCTCTGGTCGTCGCCACCGTCATCTTCAGCCTTCACGGTCGTTGTCGTTTACAGTCGTCTGCAGTCGTCGCCGTCGTCATCTTTGTCGGCGGTCGTCGCAATCGCCGCCGCCGCCGTCTCCGCTGGCAGTCGAACCGCCGCCGCCGTCCCGCGCGCTGCCGCGCGAATGGGGAGGGGGAGGGGGGGGACGAGATGCTGAAAACAACAGCATATCATTCTCCCCTCCTCTCATCGTCAGGCGGTGGTGGGGTACCACATCTTCAAATGGCGACCGCGGGCGCGCGGGCGCCGAGCTGGAGCTGCTGGTGGAATGCAAAGGGCCCGCCAGCGCTGCCGAGAGAAAGAGGGGGGAAGGGGGGATGAGGAAAAGCAAAATGATGACGTGGTTTGGGGCGCGGGTCCATCCACGCCCTGTGGCCGTACATCCTGTTGTAAGGACTGGCCTCTCTGCTCTCGGGCTGAACACTAAACATCTGGGAGGGTTGTTACGTGTAGACGGGGAGGAAAACGACGGCTTTGAATGCTTCTCTGCGCAAAATAATTTCCACTGAGCTTTAGCCCCTGACCGGCCAAACGCACTGTCACATTGCCCATCCAAACCTCTCGCGTTTGACACGCTACACTGGCCACAAGAAGCAAACGCCAAGACGGAGTTCGGCGATACACAACTGGTGACCTTACGGGGGGTGGCCGCAGAGTCAGAAAAGTGGGCACGGTAGCCATCACGCGGCTCAAGACGCCTGGCCCGAAAGACTCGGACGCAACCGCGGGTGTCTCACAGACCGAGCTTTTCTGCTCGCGGACAGAAGGCGAAACAGCGCGGCCGCTGGCGCCCCAGCACGGTGCCGACTTAGTCGGAGACCTTCGGCAGCTGCGCGATGCGGCACGCAGCCAAGGAAGCGCATTCGGCCTCGCTGCCCCCCGCGCAGCGCCGGTCCCCGAGGAGGAGCACACCCTGCCCGCGCACTGGCAAGCGGCACTGCCACCCCAGGCATGCACCGCCCATCATGGCCGCCTCGGTCTCGGCGCGGCCTCACACGCCGAGCACATCCACTGCCCGCCTCCGCCCGCACTTCCATCAGGGCTCGAGGCGGGCAGGGGCGGGGAGGCCACGGGGACGGGAGGCGGCGGAGCGGCATGCCTCGCACCCTCGCAGGCAATTGTTGGCTCCAGCCGCGATCGGCGGAGCGAGGCCAGCACCGCGGGGGGGGCAAGAGGCTGCCCTGGGAGTGGTGTCAAAGACCAGGGCCCCGAAGCCGGCCTGGGGCACGGAACGCCCCAGCCAGGGGCGCCGCTGGAGGCAGCGCGT